CCCCCAGCCCCTCCTACGCCCAGAACCGTTACCGGCCCAGCCGAACAGGACGCAGCCTCCCCAGGGTCATGGTGTACCGGGAGAGGTCCCAAAGCCAAGGGGAGACCCAGTACCAGCGAGAAGCCACCAACCGGGTGGCTGGAGACAGCAGAGCTGGGGGCACCCCCCAGCAAGATGGCACCCTCTGCCCGCCCGAGCACTCGGTCTCCGTCCTCTCCAGACTGTCCAGTGCCACCCCTCCGCCTTCCTACGAGGAGGTGACGGGCCACCCGGAGAGCAGCAGCGGCGAAGAGACCAGCGTCTCCTACAATGACCCACCGCCCAAGTACGAAGAGATCGTGGCTGCTGCCCCTGCTGCTGGCAAATAGTGGGCCTGGCTCCCTCCTGCCTCTTCACACACTCACGCTCACCCACCCTCCCTCCACAGTGCCCGGGACCCTCTTCAGGTGCCAGTCGGCGTCCCCGTCTCACCTGTACAAGCTGGTGCCATCACACAATAGCCTTACCCTCCTAACCAAAACTAGCTGTCCCCAGTGGGGTGAGGCTGGGCTGTGGGGTGGCTCTGGAGCCAGCCAGCCATCTCCTGCCCCTCACACCTTGCTCACGTAAGTGCTGTAGCAGCCAGAGCAGAATGGCATCTTGTTCCTGGCTCAACACGGGGGTCTCCCCATGGTGCATTTGATTGCCTCACTTCCCCCTCAAACAGACATAACATTTCCCATGACTAACACAGCCTTGCTGCCTCCCTGGGGCACTGCTCAGCCTTACCCCATGTCCTCAACAAGCCCTGTTTTGCTGCTCAGGGCTCTGATTAGGAGTTGGGGATGCAGGAGGGGTGTGGTGAATTTCTGTCCATCTCCACAGTCGGTGTCCACACTCTGTTTGGGGAGAAGGTGCTTCCTTTGTGTGGATTTGCTGCCAGGTGGAAGTGGAGAGCCCGGTCCATTCTGTGATGCCTGTAGTGATATTTGCTGTCTGGAGATCAGGGAGGAGCAGTTAGAGAGGTACTCTCTGCTCTCCTAGATGGGGAGAAAAGGGGAGATGTTCATGGTGGTCTTGTATGTGAGGTAAGTGACTTTGGAGTAGCAGGTCTTTTTCTTGATGCTCTCTGGTTTCCCTCTGGGATGCCAGTCTGACTGCAGCTGGTTGATGGGGTCATCTCTGACCTTGAGCCAAAGGTGGTCCCATGGCTTTAAGTGGAGGGGATGCTCCTCTTTCCTGGGGCGTGGCCTGCCTGATGTCTGCCCCAGAGGTGGGATGCTGGCACAGGGAGACTGTGGATGGGCCAAACATCCCCTCTGCCAACACCAAACTTCTCTGTCCTGCCTGCCCCCACTCTCTGGGGCTTTGTCCTGCAGAACAGGTATAGGGGAATGCAAGAGCCCACGCTCCTCCAGGCGCCTCATGAGCAGAATACTTGGTGGCATGGAGACCTCTGACAGAGGCAGCTGCAGAGGTGAGAGCTGACTAATTGTACTACGACCTGGGCATGCTGGTGGGTTGGCAGTAGGGCCAGATCCTGTTGTGCCTGACCACTGGGTGGCTATGGTGGCAGGGCAGGACAGAGCCAAGTGCTTTGCTGTGGGACTAGAGCGTCCCCTTTTCCTGGGCAGCTGCTTTTGGGATCCAAGCAACAGGGCTGTCCTTTCCCAGTCATGTCTGATGGGTGAAAAAGGGAGCTGTGCTCACCAACGTCCCCCCCCGGAATAGCCCAGAAACTCCCAGCACTGCCACCCCTTGGTGTTCACCCCAGCACCAGTCTCTCCACCAGCACAGAAAGGCTATTGTACTTCCATCAGCTGCCTGCACCCTGCTTGGTCCCAGCCATGCTCTCACAGCAGGTGCCCTCAGCCCAGAGCCGAGCCTTGCCCAGCCTGGCTCTTCCTGGGGCAGGACACGTGGGGTTTGCAGCTGCTGGCACCTTGTCTGTCCCCTCCCAGGCCTTTACTTTGCCTTTTGACCTTAGCAAATCGGGGTTATGGGAAGACCTGACAGCCAGCATCAAGGTCAGAGCCTGGAAAAGGCCAGAGGGAGACAGAAGAGTGCTCTGCATCCTGTCTTTGATGCTCGATCATTATCCCTGCAGTTTGTATTCTGTAAAACTTGGTATATTTCTGTGAAAAAAAAAAAAAAGGTATTTATTAAAAAACTCTCACTGTCTGAGTGGCATAGGGTGGCTTTTTCCCACAGGGGGATGTCTCACTGGGCACAGCTGGATTTCCATCTCTTGGGGGTGCCTGGGGCTCAGCTCTGCAGGGTGATGGGGGCAGCTGTGGGATGAAGGCACCACTACATTCCTCCCCCAGGCACAGCAGCAGCACAGTCCCCAGTGAGGAGGGGACCATCTCTGGAGATCAGGTGAGTGTTGCTGTGGGGCTGGGAACGAACCTCACGCATCTGACAGGAGCCTTGGACTTCCTGGGCATGTGGTGCAATGTCCTGTAGGAACCGGAGGGTGTCCTGGAGCCCTGACCTGTCGGTGGGTGAAGTGCGAGGGGATTTCCTGAGGTCTTTGAGGGGATTTAGGTGCACAAGTTTTCTTGCTGTTCCTCTGTATGCTCCTAAACCTCTTAGATAATCCCCTTTAAATAGCAAGACTAGGGCAGTGCGGGATTTATTTTAAGCCCTTTCAACACCAGATTTTACGGTCAGGTCTTGGACTCTGTCCCTATTCAGAAGCGTTTAAAAACTGTCGTTCATCCCGAACGGATCATTTCATCGCTGCGGACTCCGCGGAGAGGCAGGAGAGATGAGCTCGGGCACAGCTCGGCCCTCCCATCGCCGCTGTCTCGGCTCCTGCCCGGGCCCCCCCGGTGACACG